TAAGATGGGAGAATTACACAATAAAGACTTACTTTAATATATATATATATATATATAAACAACTACTAATCCCCTTTTACTATCAAGCATATAACCGATAGTCTAGACATTTTCCTTCATCATTCCTATACTGAGCATGATTAAATCTGACAATCTTTAAATAAAGCATACAATGGCCGCGAAGCACACACGACACACTCATGCACACACGGCATACGTTCACATGGACCAAACTGCATACAACAACGCTCGTATGCTTATCGTTGTAATAGCAGGGGCGGAGTCTACAGAAGAGGCGCATCACATACACATACACGCACGCACGCAGATATAGACGTAAATTGAACAATTGAACGATATAAACGAACACATGCACAAAAGTAAACGGGCACACTCAAATACATACAGATACAGACACACATTGAACTACACAACACGTGCACACACATACATTGAACTACATATACAAACACATGCACACACAGACATACCTTGAACCACATAAATAAACACGTGTACACACACACATACCTTCCTACATAAACAAACACATGCATAGACACACATACCAACCCGCACCACCGAGAGACCCTCTTCAATCAGATCTGTGGTCAAGTCCTCGTCATAGAAGAAGCGGTTGAAGACGCGGAAGAACGCCGCCAGCGCAAACAACACCACCACCACAGGGAAGAAGATCATGAAGCCATTGGCTATGAACGGCACTATGTCCATGTGGCCCATGATCTGAGTGAGTGAGTGGGTCGGTACGTCAATGGGAGATAAACATAGACATAGGTAGTGGCGATGTGTGAGTGAGTGAGTGGGTCGGTACGTCAATGGGCGATAGACATAGACATAGACAGTGGAAGTGTGTGTGTGAGTGATTGAGTGAGTGGCTATGAAGGGCACTATGTCCATGTGGCCCATGATCTGAGTGAGTGAGTGAGTGAGTGTGTGTGTGTGGGCCGGTACGTCAATGGGCGATAGACATAGACATAGGCAGTGGAGGTGTGTGAGTGAGTGAGTGAGTGTGTGGGTCGGTACGTCAATGGGCGATAGACATAGACATAGGCAGTGGAGGTGAGTGAGTGAGTGAGTGGCTATGAAGGGCACTATGTCCATGTGGCCCATGATCTTCGCATGGGGGAGTGTGTGGGTTGGTACGTCAATGGGCGATAGACATAGACATAGGTAGTGGTGGTGTATGTGTGAGTGAGTGAGTGAGTGAGTATGTGAGTGTGTGTGTGTGTGAGTGTTAGTGAGTGTGTGAGTGAGTGAGTGTGTGTGTGGGTCGGTACGTCAATGGGCGATAGACATAGACATAGGTAGTGGAGGCGAGTGAGTGAGTGAGTGGCTATGAAGGGCACTATGTCCATGTGGCCCATGATCTTCGCATGGGGGAGTGTGTGGGTTGGTACGTCAATGGGCGATAGACATAGACATAGGTAGTGGTGGTGTATGTATGTGTGAGTGAGTGAGTGAGTGAGTGTGTGTGTGTGTGGGTCGGTACGTCAATAGGCGATAGACATAGACATAGGTAGTGGAGGTGAGTGAGTGAGTGAGTGGCTATGAAGGGCACTATGTCCATGTGGCCCATGATCTTCGCATGGGGGAGTGTGTGGGTTGGTACGTCAATGGGCGATAGACATAGACATAGGCAGTGGTGGTGTATGTGTGAGTGAGTATGTGAGTGTGTTAGTGAGTGAGTGAGTGAGTGAGTGGGTGGGTTGGTACTTAAACTGATAGGTTTGGCGAAAACAGTTGTATCGTTAAAATGGCCAACAATACGCATATGCGTTTAGTGCATGGAGATACGCTTGGTACATAAAGAAGTAAGCTACATGCGCATTAACTCACATACATGTTGATTATGTATACATATTTGGTGTACATGTTTATGTCTATATATTTAGTATACATATTTAGTATACATGATTTATGTCTACATATTTAGTATACATAATTAGTATACATGTTTATGTATACATATTTAGTTTACATATTTAGTATACATGTTTATATGTATACATATTTATTATACATGTTTATGTCTACATATTTAGTACACATATTTAGTATACATGTTTATGTCTACATATTTATGTATACATATTTAGTATACATGTTTATGTCTACATATTTAGTGCAATTGCAAGTACAATACGTTACCTGCGCAAAGGCAGTTTCCTGTGTCATCAGGCTGATAGAATGCACATACACTCACATACATGTTGTTTATGTATACATATTTAGTATACATGTTTATGTATACATATTTAGTATACATGTTTATGTATACATATTTAGTATACATGTTTATTATACATATTTAGTAAACATGTTCATGTCTTTACATATGTAGTGCAATTGTAAGTACAATACAATACCTGTGTGAAGGCAGTTTCCTCTGACACCAGGCTGTTTGAATTGCCGTCCAACTGATTGATGCTCAAAAAGTTGAATATCAGGGCCGGCGTTAAACGACTTACACATCTGTTGATATAATGCACGCAAAACGTTAATAATCAAACAACTTACACATCTGTAGATACAATACACGTAGAACGTTAAGAAGTAAGCGACATACACATCTGTTGATTATATATTACACTTAAACGTTAAAAATACGAAAGTGGCTGCGGGGATGGGCTAAAGCGGCACTGTGGCATGCATTGCAAATGAGCGTCACCACACGAACACGGGCGGGTGTAGAGAGTAGTATATGTCTATTTATAGATCTAGAGACAAGGATGTGTTTACGTATAGTTATAGATCTAGAGATAAGAATGTGTATATTTAGAGATAGGGATGTGTATATTTAGAGATTTATAGATTAGTGTATGTCTATCTATAGATCTAGAGATTAGAATGTGTTTATTTATAGATCTATAGATCAGTGAATGTCTATTGGTAGATCTAGAGATTAGCACGTGTTTTTTTAAGTTGTGCATACAATACAAGTACAATTTATATATGACTTATAAGGTGTACATACAATACAAGTACAATTTATATGACATGTAAGGTGTACATACAATACAAGTACAATTTATATGACTTATAAGGTGTACATACAATACAAGTACAACTTATATGACTTATAAGGTGTACATACAATACAAGTACAATTTATATGACTTATAAGGTGTACATACAATACAAGTACAACTTATATGACTTATAAGTTGTGCATAGAATACGAGTACAACTTATATGACTTATGAGGTGTATATACATAGAGTGCACTCAAGAGGAGACTGGTGTCATTTGAGTGGTGGTTGGGGGTGAGATGGAAGTAGTTGAACTGGGAACAAAGTCTATAGTACATACACAACAAAAAAGTAATACAACGCCAAATAAACAAACACGCGAAAACACAACTACACACACACAAATACGCAGATACTCATATACACAAAGACACAAATACGCAAATACACAAACACAGAAACACAGAAATACGCAAATACACATACACAAACATACAAACACAAAAATACGCAAATACACATACACAAATACACAAATACGCACATACACATACACAAATACACACACCACATACAGTGCGCTGAAGAGCAGGCTGGTGCCGTCGGAGTGGTGGTTGGGGGTGAGATGGAAGTAGTTGAAGAGCCGAATGCGGAAGAGAGTGTTGTATGTGCACACGGCCATGTGCACGATGGTGGTGATGCAGATGATCTGTGGGAAACCGGGACGAAACGGTACACGATCAGGACAATTGGCGACCAGAATAGCACCTAATCAGGGCAAGTGGGCATCAGAATCAGAGCAAATGAAGGGGGGGGGTTGTTCAGAGGAAACGCTTGGGAGCTCAAGCACCCAAGTGACTAGAAAATGGTTCAAATTGGGCCCAAATAGGATGGGAAACCGCACAACCAACCACAGGAAAACGGACAAAAACGGACCAAAATTAGGGTACAGAGGACACCACGACGAGAGGGCGTGCTCAACAGCACGACAAGTTGTGAGAGCGTATCATTGCAGTGTGTGACAGCGGAGACACGCAACGTCAGATGTCAGTTAAGACAGCAATACGTTCAGATAACACAGCAATACGTTTAGTTAACACAGCAATACGTTAATATACCACAGTAATACATTTAGTTAACACAAAAATAGGGTTTAGGTGCATACAAACATAGATAAATAGATACTACACAGATAGATAGATAGATAGATATACATACGTAGATAAATAGATAGATAGATACTAGAAAGATGAATGGATAGATAGTTAGATACTACACAGATGGATAGATAGATACATATACATAGAAGGATACTAGACAGATGAATGGATAGATAGTTAGATACTAGACAGATGGATAGATAGATACATATACATAGGTAGATAGATAGATAGATAGATACTAGACAGATGAATGGATAGATAGTATGATACTACACGGATGGATAGATAGATATATATACATAGGTAGATAGATAGATAGATAGATACAAGACAGATGAATGGATAGATAGATAGATATAGGTAGATATATATACATAGGTAAATAGGTAGATAGATAGATACTAGACAGATGAATGGATAGATAGATAG